TCGGTTAAAAATTCTCCTTGGCATAGCTTAAAAAATATTCATCTAAAATGCATTCCCGTCTGGATCAATCGTACCAGCCTATTTTTAGAATCACCAAGACCAAAAGGACATTCAGTACAAAGCACCTCTTAGTGAGAGATTACGATTCAACCATCAAATAATTTTGCTAATATTTCTATTTCGATTGGTTTACTCGAATCACCAGAACAAAGGCCGCCATAACCAGTTTGCCTCACTGGAATATGTCCAACATGTTTCAAAGCACAATCACAATATGATGTGACCGGAACAGTGATTTTATCTATTGTAGCCATTATGTCAGAATTTTAGTAGAAAAAAATCACCTTTTCTAAATTTTTTCAATTTACATGCTGCCGATTTTCGTACATTCCGCAGCAGAAGCAAACGCGTGTTACGTGCTAGTTCCTTCTCTCGATTATTCATAATAACATTTTTATTAAGGAAATGTCGACAGTTCGGTGCACCACAACAACAGATCGTTACATCATCAAACTCAAACGCATCCCAGTTATAATCATACGTAAGCTCTTCACCCTCATGAATTCCACGCAAAGCAAATAAGCCAATTCGATAATGGCCGTTAACAGACCTACAATTAACACCACCTCAATAATGCCTTTCTAATTATCCAAAGTATTTCCAAAAGATTTAGTTTGTAGGGGACGATATGCACTGTACATTTTCCAAATCTTTTAGAAAATTTTGTCAATGTAATCAAAGCTCAATTTCAATCCCAAAAGAATGCATAAGAATGAAATCAAATAGAACATAATCTGGAAGTTACTGACAATATAACTTACCAACGCTGCATTTCACAGTTTGGAGCACAGGAATGATTAATAAATCGTGCAATGTTTCCTTTATGATAGGCATCAACAACAAAACCTGGGCAAAGGTTCAATGCGTAATGATTTCGTTGATAACGATAATCAGTACGACTTCGAACATTGAACGTTTCCATTGAGACAACCTCACCGATATATTCACATATGAACTGCAAAACTTTTTTTGTGTACTTGCCATGTAAGTTATGATGATCAACAGCATGAATGATACTGATGACATGCAAGATGCTAACATGTACCATGCACAATATATATACATATATATATATATATATATAGTAATAAATTTACTCGAATTTTATTAGGCACAAAGCAAAAACAAATGCTGCGGAAATGTTGCAGCTGT